TATATAATCAAGTGAGCAACGAATAGATATTTTCATGGCAACTCTCGTCGATGGACTATACTTGTATAGATGTTAGTTGCATGTTGTAAGTCCTCTGAGGCTTTTGTCTTTCATCCCTGCCAGCCTATATGCACTCTCTTATTGTAAGAGTAGGGTACCCCAAAGCTTTTAAACTTTGTATCTATCCTCGCTGCTAATGGATGGAGCCATTGGAAGTTTACTGCTGCTGCCGAACCTTATTTGCTTCATAGGGCATTGTACCAAACACAACGCTGGGTTTGTCGACATTGTTCGCGTATTTAAATTGCCTATTCTGTCAGTAGAGGGTATATTATTTAGTTCTGTCATTTAGCAGCTGCCATTGACCCAAATGCAAGCCCCCGCCTCCAGAGTCGTGTAGGGTTATCGGCTTGGCGGTATTGGTACAGAAGCTTTTGATTTGAGCCCGATCAGCTTATAAAGGGAGTAGGCGTTTCGTTCCCCTTAAGATAAGTTTGCTACAAAATGTTGAGCCACCTCGTAGGCTCTGGATGTATAGTCTGCTTTATTTTCAATATTGCACACATTGTCATAGACTTTGAGGGGGCTGACAATTTTAGTTACGGCGTTCCCGCTATGTAATAGTACCTCGCTAACCAGACAAACCGGTGTTAAGAACGTTTGCACAAATCAAGTTGCCACTAAGGATATATTCCCGCGCCGAAGAACTGTTGAGGAGCGTTTTCACTTCCTTTTTTCAATAGTCCCATTTTGCCCTTTGTTCTTCCATATATTTCACCCTGTTTTTCGGCGTCCTTGTTCCTATCTTTTGCATAGGTAGGCTTTGCAATAGACTGGGTTCCTGGGCGACGCATTCAAGAGTAACTGGCCGAAGTTCTCCATTCAGTTTGTCGTTAGTGTGGATTCTGGTTGAATGTCGAGTAAAACAAGACACACATAAAGATCGAGCAGACGAATGAACGGGCATTAAAGCAAAACAAAGGAAAATGACATCTGGACAAAAAGTTTCGATCTGTTCTTTCAGGTGAACTTCGATGTTCCCTAAAGGGCATATTGAAATCGCTTCGAATATTTCTGCATCTCACGCAATCGGGGCGAAGTTGTACATTTCTGCTTCACCTCAATAATTTTAATAGGAACGTCAATTGCTACTCCTATTTACTTTGTATCGGCCTTTTACTTCAATATTTATACATGTTCTCTATTCACATTCATAAGACATATTCAGTAATTAGCCGTGTGCTTCAATATTTACAAACTTCACGTTATACACGCACACCGATAATCTTTGGCTAGCCCGTTCTCGACATATTAGTATGTTAACTATTTTTCTCAGAATACGAGGGTTATAAGTAGTTGGCAGACAGAGCCGGTCCTTTACTTGCTACTACTTTGTTATAGAAAACCATACATTACATATTAAACAACCGAAAGGATAATAACATCTAAATGATAAATAGATAAGATTAAAATGACATTTAGTGTAAATTAGATATACTAACTAGAGGACTTAACATCTAATTGAATTCCTTATCATGTCAAATGTTTCTATGTTCCTTGTGAAAACTTCCATTTACAGAAAAGAATCACAAAATAGACTTATTCAGCTGTAACCTCGGCGACCTCCGCACCAATGAGTATCATTGTTTCTAGGTCCTGCCAGGCTAGGGGGCTCAATATGGACAATCTGGAGCAACCTAATAGTTGAAGAGAGAGTTCCTATCCTACGTATCGCCGTTTTTTGCGGAAAATGCGGAATTTAAATGTGTCTACGCTCATATTTGAACCTAGACCATCGCGCATGTTTCTAAAATCAGGGATAGAGTCCTACCAGATATATTGCTAGTGTAGATTTTTTCTATTTGACACAATCAATATCACATAGCTCAAGAACCGTCACCGGAATATTGCTAAATAAACGGCACTAAAAAACAGTTGCCTACGATTACGTTTTCTTTCTCGTTATTCACCTATTATCCAGCTAATAAAAGCTTTAATCCTTACTCCGGTCTCACAACCGGTACCTTACTAATAATTTGGCACGTATCATTAGGCATACCACCCAGTAGTAATTACTCTTACGTCACTCTATTTTTTTTGTTTCCTTGTATGTAATGGTTATAACCTGTACCACCTGCCGGATGACCCATAAGAGGCGTGCTGGAGCGAAGAGGACATTAATTCCTCGTAGCTTAAACATGAGGCATAAAGCTACTGAACGATAGTACGTAGTTGACGTTTTAGAGCGCCCCATTGCATGTGTACGCGCGTGCCCATCTGGGTTGGGCCCCCGCAAGACTATGCTCGCTCCAATGCAACTGCCGCTTTTGCTTCCTCTGAGCGACGCTAGCGACCCGTTTAATCTCGCCGTGTTGTATTATAATGCGCGATCGCGGTGGGAAAGACACGGCAAGCCAGAAGGGGCAGCACCAGTAGAAGCTGCGATCAGTTTGCTCGGTCAGTAGTAGCTGCTGTTTGTAGTTCTCTATTTTGCCATCTTTTCTGACACTCGCATACATTCTCGACAAGCCATGCTGGGTCGATCCTGCTGAGTTTCTGGACCGCTTTAGTCGTTCTCAGTTACCTAAGTAGTCGCCTTCATTTCATTGACAACCGCCAGTGCTCTATAATCGAGGTATGGTGGCGATGGCAGCAGCGACGACTACCGTGCTACGAGTGCGCATCGGGACCAGACTTAAGGCATACAGCCTCTTTGCCCTCTGACGAAGCAAACGAAGTAACCGAAAGAATGGGGGAACCTCGTTTAACGATGGCCCATTGTGGCAACACGTCATCATCATCATCATCCTGCTACTACTCCTGCTTTATGGCCACTCCTGGTTTGTTTGAGCCCTCTCAATGCCGATCACCATAACTGTACATCCCCTTTTGCCCGCCCGGTCGTTGGAGTTGCTGCTGCTGCGGCTGCGGCCCGTGGGGTGCTGGGTTCACTTGTGAGCAGCGGCGATGGCAGGCAGTTAGAGCTCGACACGGGGAAGCTAAGCCGCAGCGTTAGGAGCAGCGGCAGGGAAGAGCCTGTCGTCCACGCGGGAGGCCACAGGCAATAGAAAGCACCGCTTGCCACGACCAGGTGTAGCTTGTTGGTCGGTTGATGCCGTTGCTTCACATCGCTGCAATGATGACGACGCGAGGGTAACGCACCAGAGAAGCTCTGGGAGATGAAAGGCATTGAGGGTGGAGACGAAACGGTTTGGGCTTTCTGTGCGGACACTGTTGCCGCCGGGACCCACCGGAGGTGATATGTGGGAGCGCAGTAGTGGCCACTCTTATTAGCTTTCTACGGACGAAAAGAAACGTCTCAGATGAGGTAAGCCCGTGGGAGCTACCTAGGTGAGGCAAAGATTCGGCCTGCTTTACCTCTCTTCTGATCGTCAGCTGGGGCGTACTCAGAAGATGTTGACGAGTGGAGCAACCGATCTCTTTTCTTCCTATACTCGTGTAAAGTCAAACGAACCGGGGGTTTTGAGGGAATGTTACTGTGTGTGGGATCCTAAGAAAACTTGCCTTCTCGCTTTCTCGCGGGACCGTGGCGGACCACCTCGGACTGACCTGACTGCACGTAGTGTGCTAAAACTACTCTGATGGCCTCTTTGTGAGCCGTAGCCGTCAGTCGATGAGTGTTATGCTTATGCGAGGTAAATGAGGCTTTTGGCGAAGCTTCAGTGTGTGGTACATTGTCAGGGTGTGCTTCTAAAAGTGACGGAGTCAACGGAATGTCGGACCCACCCAGGGCCCCTTACCTATTTCCGTGATACCGCCGTGGGTAGTGGGTAAATTTAGTTTAGAATATGGGTATAGACACACTGCGTTTCGTGCTGGCACCCTGAATTGACACCTAACAGCTTAAGTACCAGACGTAAAGCACGAAAAACGTCTAAAAAGGGAGCTTTTTATCTGAACGAAGTTCGGATCATATTTGTGTCCTAAAAAGTCCTAGTCAGAGTGATGCCAATGGACTGCGGGAGTACATACGTATTGTTATTTCAACGGAACAATCATTCTAATAGGGAAATTGAACGTGTTAGAAAAACCGTATATAACGTTTTTATGTATGAAACCATATAAACAGAAATTTCCATTATCATTAATAAAAATATCATTAATTAGGCACTAAAACACATTACTAGTTGTAATCATTTAAATAGCAACCTACTTTTTAGTATCTTGTGAATCAACAGATTTTTACAATGTAGAATGTTATTTTTCAGTCTCAACGGACAGAGTAAGCTGTAGTCCGTCCACACAGATTCGAAAAGCTATACCTGGCCATTTACATTTTCGCGCACACAGAAAACCTTCCGGGTCCTACTTTTTCCATCGGATGGTAAGTATTAGCTTTTTGTTTTTCTCAGCCACAAGCGGTCTCTTCCATGAATGTACACATTTCGCCACTGTGGTTCAATGTGTCTTCTATAACAGCCCGCTATGTGAAGTATGTGCACATCTTTTAACCGCAGTTATGCCCCGTGGAGCAGCCAACACTGTTATGCTAGTTAAAAGCACCGAGGTGTGAATTGGTTCTGTGTTGCTTCTTATTTTACCAATGCACTCCCGAAAGGCATGCAGTGTCGGATGCTTAAATACTGCTGCAGTAATAGAGGCTGTATGGCCAATTGTGAATCCAACATGCTTGCCATCGCCAGGAGAGCTATCACCCATGAGGAGTCAGAATTAGCAGCAGTCGTCGTGGTCGCGGCTGCGGCCATTGCCACTGAATCTTGAGCGTGAGCTGGCAGAAATACTTTCCCTTGCGTGCAAGCAACTTCCGCGAGCTCAGGTTCGTGTTCAGGCTTGGAGTGGGCTATAACCTAATCAATGACATCTGATACTATCGCCAATACGAACCCCAGCTGGGGGCACACATACCTAACCTAACCTGGCTACCACTGTTGCTGCTAGCATTTTCTACCTAGCTTTCGTGTCGATCATGGCGACCCGTCGCAGGTCACGAGGACTCGATGTGCACTTATCGGTCGCTCCCCAACACGGTCCCTTTCAACAGTTTCATTCCCCTATAGCCAGCTGTTTACTTCTACTGCCATAGCCTCCTGTCCACCCTTAAGATTTCCTACTAGTAATACTTGTACACAGCGATGACTGTTTCCTTGGCTATATATGACGGCTGCTATCACGGTATAGTATAGTACTACATGATAACCCAGTTATCAGCGAGGAGTTGAATGCTACTACCATCACACGCAACAGTAGCATTTGGACCTGAGAACACACTTAAGGGCAAAATTGATGTATCAATTTGACGTAGAGTCGGTGAAAGATATCGTTAAGCTTCAATCAACAATTCAGTGAAGTTCATTATCTTTACGGTGAAATAATTCGTTTTATCTGCACTAGAAAATTGTGGTTGGTGCCACTACTACACTGGTACACAGAAAAATGAATTTGTAGTTTGTTTCCTTATATCCATTGACAGATATTCGTTAACCGGCTAAACTAGGTGTTGGAGTATAAAAGATAAAAGCCGCTTAGGCTTAACCCAATTTAAAGAGCTGGTTTCCACGAAGCCTACCCGTCTGTACCTGTTTACCACGCCCACTGCGTTGAAGTGCGAAGACGTCGAGGCGGTAGAACAAGGCAAATATCTCAGCAACCGCCGAAATTCAACCTTCTCAGTGATCTCAGCCGGTTTCCATGTGGCTCGCTAGAGTTCTGCCGATACGTAACCCAATCGAAGTTGAGGGAACCTGCCGGCCGAATGAAGACGCTACTTCGAGATATGACGGGAACACGAGAATAGCATACCATTGCCAATTATAAACTTCAGTACCGTTTCTAATTTTTAAATCTTTGGCAGAATTAAATCAATAAGTATATTATATATACCACCAAGAAAAAATAGATGTATGCCACACATGTGCTCATAGGTTATGTAAGGTAACAGGTTTCGTTGCTAACTTCATCTAGGGGGTAAGGCTTTGGTTAAAATGAAAATGTAGGCTTGTAAACTATGCTAATTTCAACTTAGTAATGTAAGGGCGTTAGATTAGAACTCAGCCACCTCAAAGCCTCTTAATGGAGCCGTATCTCGTTTCGAAGATCATTTAAAACTTACACTTATGAATTTTCCGATTATTCCTGTTCAAAAAATTGCGTATTTTAGTCTTTTGAACTTCTCAGAGAGTCTTCCATTTTTTGATCTAATCAGATCGTTCGTGAATGACTGATGCAGTACTGGTAATTCACTAACACTTTAGGACACGTGAATGTAGCTCTAATTTATGTCTGCCTTGGATATATAGGTAAAAACATACATACGCCGAAAGTAATCGTTATTTTGGAACATACGCTGAGTACTCTGTATGGTGTAAGTGGGTTTACGACGCTTCATTTTCGAAAAATCGGCTAAACGTACCTATATCTCGGCCCGTGTATCACGTGCATTAGAGGTAAGACCTTGTACGTCACAGATAATTTTAGTCTATAAATTAATAATGCGACAAAACTGGAGAAAAAAATACTTTTACTAAAAAATAAGTTATAATGTTAGTATGAAAAGACAGTGTTTCATAATCATTCAGTATCAAGCTAGTTAGATTAAAAACGTGCTTCATGAAAATTCTCAGTCTGTGCAAGATTCAGTTTTCAATGGCCCAAAGACCGGCATATGCAAAAGTTGTATTTCGTTTTAAAGCTGGACAAGAACTACAGTGGGCTGCACCATTCCTTAGAGTCAATTTGACCGTTTTAATACCTGTGAAGCCGTACTGCCCCGTGCTTATATAGTCCAAATACACTCTACAAATACACCCTATTTCTCGTGCATAGTGGTGATTCTACTAGCCGTTATACAAGTGCTTTAATCTCGTCATGAAAGTTCGGTCGCATTTGTATCGCCTGAGCATCACCTTTTTCAATCAAATGTTATCCCGCTGCGACATCGTGGTCTGTCGAGAGTTGCGCCATGCAGCGCTCGTTGTGTACGTTTCCAATTCGCGGACGAAGGAAATTCGCGCCCGTGGGCCATCCAACCTGCTACTCCAGCTTAGTCTCATTTATGCCCTTCATGAATTCATTCATATATTCATTTCCCATAGGTACGTTTTCAGGAAAATGGTGAATACGACGTGTCTCATTCTTTTTCTCTCGTTCTTTCCAGGGACAAGCATCGTTTGGAGCGACCAACTCAACATGGCCCCACAACAGTGGCTTGTGGCACTGCTTAGCATTGCAGGCCTGTAGCAGCGTTCCTGTGCGGACCTGCTATTCTCGCTAAGACGCCTTTTCGAGGCGGCAGGTTGCTACTGTTTAGCCACGACCGATGGCGCTTGTGAAGGCGCTCTAACGGTACTCATCGCCTCTTCATAGCACGCCTTTCTGCTAAGGTAAGCCGCAGAGGCGTTTAGCGTTCAAGACTCGGCAGGCTGAGAGAAAAACAGAGCTGTGCATTTTGCCCTATCTTGCCCTATTCTGGCGCCTACAGGTGATGCGCTCCGGAACTCCCACGGAGTCGTTCACTAGCTGCGCGCCCTCGTTTGAGGGATCACTGCCACTATAGAGACGAGCCTCACTTACTTACTTGCTTGGAGGTTGGGTATCGTGGAGCCGAAGGATGGGGAAGTCGTTTGAGGGATCATTGCAAATGAAATTAAGAGATTTTTGCAATCCTACTACACCCCACTGCTGCTCCCACCCTGAACATCACCAGCACTGAAGCTACCCTAGTAAGTAGCGAGCCTTTACCCACCCTTCAGTACTCACTTACATCGAGACCCAGTTCTAGTCTTTTAACACAGTCCTCCCACTACCTTCAACCTCATACCACAATCTTGTCCGCTATAGTTGAACCTCTTGGGTGCGTTCGTTGTTGCCGACGGTGACTGCCCGGGCGGCTCTGAGATGAATCCAGGTTCGAGGTTGAATTCATGAGCAACGCGTTACTGGTCGACTGCCCGTCGGTCGCTGGTTCTCAGTGGGTGGCCGCCGCTTGTGGAACTGGCTGGTGAGGAAAAGGCGATTTCCATTCACAAGAGTTCAGGTGAGTTAATGAACTTAATGAACACCCGTCGACGCGAGTAGCTGGATACGGTGAGAACCCGACACCATCATCGGTCAGAAACTGTCTGCTGCTTTGGTCCGAATAAGCCTGACGTTTCGGCGGCCCCTTCGACTAGGAGACGGATCGGAGACGGAGCAGACGCAGGAAGCCAAGATACAGCGAAAGAAATCGCCAGTAACGAAAGAGATAGGGGAAGAGGGTGGGACGCCAATGCGGGAAGCAAGCCGAGAGCAAAACGGCAAGAAGGATCGCTGCTGGTACCAGCGGCGGCACGGCAAAAGTTCCTAGCAGCAGTGTCCACGCCGAATTGACGCCGGTTGGGGCCTGGTGGGAGGGCACGGGAAGAGCAGGACAGTGGGGTACACTGTGAAATAGAAGCTGCTAGTATTAAAGCTGTAGAGGCAGGGTTGGAAGCTGGTGAGGTCTCGAGGTTAACAGCTTGTCGGAGCATGACGCGAGGCGTCCCAAAAAGTCAACGAGGAACGCTGGTAAACAGGCGGCACCAGTTGCGGCGGTCAAATCGTCGTTCTCGCAACTGGCAGTGTGCAATACTGGGCTCCAAGAGCTGCCAAGGTTGATTCGCTAGGTTGCAGTAGTTGTAGACAGAAACAGTGGCGATGACTGGAAATCTGTCTTCCTTTGTCGAAGCAGGATACGCGCAACGGAGTATGCGGTTACGCATACAAAACAGGTTCCACTACCTGAAGATATGACCACAGCATAATATAATGCAGTCAACTGTATTGTACGAAAGGGTAATCATGTTTGAACGTTCGTATTGTACGTCTATGTGTGTAGAAGAATAATTGCACTAAATCATTCTACGATTTGGAACGTGTCGATCTTGAACATGGTGCAGTCCTACTTAATACCGCGGTTACGCTATTCAATCAATACGGTCAATATAGCTACTAACTAACTGTACATAATTGAATTTCTAATAAAGCTGAACTTACTACGAATATTTATATATTTTAGACAAAAAGCCGCGTTGAAAACAAATCATACATTTTTTAGCTTGCACGACTATGTGTTTAACCTCTCCAATTTCTTATTGTTAGTTTACATCACATTGTACTCATATGGTGTACTGGGTTGGGTCCGATAATAACCCCACAGGAACTGTCCGTCCACCTTCCCAGTAAAATGCTGCTACCGTTGTTGAACCTTTGCCATTACGAGTCGAGATTCGGCACAAAACAGGACGTTCTGTTCCGTAAAAAGGATTCACACAATTCAGCCGTGCGACCAGCGTGCCCTTAGCAGCAACCGCTGTATCCCCTTTTACGATACGCTCCTAAAGCACTCGT